AATTCTAGTAAACATAGTCCTCCGTGAAAGCGCCCCATAGGCCCACTGCTGTTTCCCACACTCATTTTTCAGTCAAAGTCCAGGGGGGTTGGGAAGGGAGGGGTCACACTGTAAAAAGATGCTGGAGGCATTGTTTGCAGGTAGCAAGGGGGGCTGGAAGCCCAGAAGAAGACTGCAGGGAGAAATAAACAAAGCCTCCCCTTCTGACATTAACATGGGTCCCTGTGTGCATTGAGCTAATGAATTTCAATTGTGTGTGTAAGCCTCTCACATTTCATTTGCTGTTATACAAAGCTGGTTTCCAGAAGCTTAGAAGAACAACTTCATTTTAGTCATCCTTACCAATTCTGAAGGAGGAGCCTTCAAGACGATCTTTTCATTTCATTTTCCATAAACTTTTTGAAATCCCCTCATATAAAGAAGATTCCCTTTTCCCTGATAAAACATTATGTAGAGAGATTTTCTGAGTTGGAAAGTGGTTACTACTAAGCCCAGTCCTGGGATCATGGTTGTAGTTCTTCTGATGTAGTAAACAATCCTTGTAATTTCTCCTGCGTATCACTGATTACATATGCACTTATTTTCTGCATATCCATGGACAAAAGTCAGTGTTCTAATCTTTTAATTTCCTTTAGTACGATAAAATAAGTTACTGGCTTATTCTTTTTCTTTTTCAAAGTTTCCATTGTTATTTTGAGAAGTAAAAATATCATCATCTGGTTATATCACCCAAGGTGCTAAAATAAGATATTCACCCCGCCAATTAGCAAGAGTAAGTGGAGAAGGATGGGTCTGCATCAGGCAAAATCCCAACTGTTTCCAAACGCTAGAAAACAAGCTGTGATAAGGTGAAAATGAGGTGGAAATGTGTACCCCCTTACTCTCAAGGGCTGTCCCCTCTCCTAGAACAGAAAGCACCATATTTGTAGGGTCAGGTGAGACAGAGGCATGGCAGCATGCCATAACCACCTGGTCTGGTAGCACAGCCCATTGGTCAGCTGTACCTCAAGGCCGTCTTGTAGAATCCTGGGGCAGGCATACATCCGGGGGTGGGAAGGAGGGAACTCAGTGGGGCTTGGAGGAATAAGAAAGGAAAACTGGGCAACCAGTTTGCAGAAAACACCTCAATTCTCCATTATCGCCTGTCATTTCTGAAGAAGTAAAATCTACAAGGCGCACAGCATGAAGCTCAATCAGCGCTCTTCATAAGGGTTAAGTTTAACCTGAACTGAACTTGGGAGCTTGAGGTCAAGAACGAGACAGAATTATCGAGAACACTCAAACCCCTCAGTGGAACAGCATGACCTAGTGAGTCCCTGGGTGTCACAGACAGTGAACACGCCACTGCTGCTAGCCCAGAGGTAGCTCGGAAGAAAGAGCTGGTGATCTTCCAGCACAAACTCCAAGGGACACAGCTCTACTCTGACCCAAGTGGGGGTGCAGGAGTCATAAGACTCGAGGGCAGCTGGGTGGTATAAAGAAGACTAGGCAGGATTCTCCCAGGGAAATCTCCAGGGTAACCGAGACTAGGAGGTGAGTCCCACCAGAGTCTAGCGCATACTACAAGGGAGAAATCACTAACAATGCAGCCCTTAGACCCTTAACCAACGTGAGACCACCCCTGCTCCATCTCGTGAATTTGTTGTACTGCTGTTACGCTGTTCAGTGCAGTCAAGCCAATTCTGATGCGGAGCGACCCTGTCCAGGTTTCCAAGGAGCAGCTGGTGGGTTTGAACTGCCGACCTTGTGGTTCGTAGTCCAGTGTTGATCCACAGTGCTACCCCAGGTGTCCTTCTACACATGTAACCCAGGACCAAGCTTGAGCGTGCAGCGAGGACAGACACACAGGGACAGGAAAGACAGACAGAGAGAAGCGTGGGAGACGAACCCCCGTGTGGCCCCCACGGAATAAACCTGTGGGGGAATCGAGCTCCAAGGACACGTCAGAGTTTTTCACAGCACCCTGGGCAAACACCAATCCTAGTCAATGGTGGCAAAGTCTCAAAATGAGGTAACACTCACTCCCATTAATACGGAAGACCTTTCTAAATACAAGCATCTAAAAATATGGCTGTTTCAAACAATACGGCCCAAACAGAAAATGAGCACAGCCAATAACGTCAAGTTCAGTGATGAATGTCCATCTATATCTATGTGGTGCTGTGGAACAAGTACTGGGCTGCTAACTGCAAGGTCAGTGGTTCAAACTGAGCAGCCGCTCCTCAGAAACCCTATACAAGGTCACTTTCAGCTGGAAACAGTTCCACGGCTTCACAACAACAAAAACATACATATGATTAAGTGCATTTAACAATTTCTCCATTCAAGAGACATAGAAACCTTTTTATTTATCTTTACAATTTTCCCTCATTTATTCTGAGGCTATATTTACTATGGGTTTGTATTAAATGTTACAGGAGTAAGCTGGTATCATTCATTAAGCTGATAGAACAGTTTAATTGCACCATATATTTCAGATGCTCTGTGAACGTACTGAAAGGGCAGTACGCACACACCACAATGTATCATTGCTTGGGAGGAGGAGAGGGGGGTTTGTTACTGTTTTGTTGGTGGTGTTTCTTAATGAAAATAAAGCAGGTGAATGTTCTAAGGGGGTAAGGAAAGAAATCACAAGTACTGACATGGTGACGAGAGGTTGTTTAAACGGACACTGCGGGAGGCGAAGTAAAATGTCCATACATCCTAAAGTTTAGGGGTGGTACCCTGATACGGAATAGACATTCATATGTAAGTACTTCCAGTTTGTCCAAACCAGGGTTTAACAAGTATTTACAATCTTCATAAAAGTAATTAACAACAACTTCAACACTGAGAACAGGATCTCATTAGGGCAGAAGGAGAATAAACAAAAACCACCAACTTGTTTCCTTGGCTGGGAGCGTGACATTTATGATTTATAACTTCTGAAAGTACGGTAAGCAGAAGAAATTCCCAGCTTGCTGAGATCAGCAGTTAACTGGGGGAGAAAGCTTTGAGCCGTAGAGGGAACCCAAAGCCGCCGTCGAGAAATTAAAGCGATGCTAGGGCCCAGATGAGCAGTGAGGGGCTGGTGAGGGAAAGCGGCTGAGTGGTCCACAGAGGAGGCTAGGGTCTCCGTGGTCGGCAGGACCTCGGGAGGGAAGGAGGGAGGCAGAAGAGAAAGTGGGTTAGAGCACTGCTGGGTGGTGGTGTTACTTGGGCGTCAGCTGTTAGTGTCCACCAACAGCCATCAACGTAAACCTGGACCTGGGACACTCCTCCAGCATTACCACCTGCATGTATGCCTACACCCCACACAGACGTTACAGACACGGTCTCAGCACACTGTACAGGAGGAACCAACAGACAACCTGACACAGGAGAAGAGGGACAAGAAGAGGGAGCGAGAGGGAGCTGGACAGATGGACACGTGGGGGGGGGGAGGGTGGACAGATCAGTGGACGAAGCCTCCGACGGGAGGAATACATCGAAGAGCTACAAGTGACAGAAAAGGAGGTAGGAACACCAACATAAGAGGAGGAGGGAGAGGCAGGTGACTGGGATGAACAGGACACTGAACGTCCCCAGATCTCCTCTAGCAACCTTCATCACAACAAACACAGTGAGGACACACCACTAGGCTCAGTGGACCTGAACCAGGTACGCAAACGGCTCATCGGACCTGCAGTCACTCGGAACAGGCGCAGAGCAGGATTGTGTGCCAATCCCGAGCAGTTCCACAGGACTACCGCTGGGTTCTGAAGTCTGCTCACAGAGCCACGCATTACTACAAAGACGGTTCTCTCAAGACCATGCCCACAGTGAACCTCCTGGGATCTCCAAGAAGCCTGAAAACTGGGTAGTTCCCCAGAATTCACACTGCTGGCAGTTTTCATTAAAGATAAAAAAACAAAACAAACACCCAGTGCGATCGTCAAGTCAGTTCCGACTCATAACGACTCTACTGGGCAGAGCGGAACTGTCCGAGAGGTTTCCAAGGCTGTAAATCCATATGGAGGCAAACAGCCGCATCTTTCTGTCACGGAACAGAGAGCTGGGGGATTCCAACTACCAACCTTGTGGTGCGCATCCGAGTATTTGAACCACTGCACCCCACCCCCACCCCCGGCCCCGGGTTCCTCCTACTCTAGGTGGTAGTGAACACCACCTGTTCTGGACCCCGGGCATCAGTGTGGCAAGAACCCGGCCTCCAGGGTTTGGCCTTGAACTTATGTCAATAATGTAGGAAAAGCTTCCCTTTGAGAAAAATAAAACTGTCCCGATGATGATGAAAAAATGGATGTTAAAAACCAACAAATGATACTGAATATTACTTTCTAGACAACTGTTAACAATCCAATCCAATCAAAGAAGAATGTATAAAAATAGCTATTAAGACCTGCTGGCGGTTCAAACCCAGCAGCCATTCCGTGGGAGAAAGACGAGGCGATCTGCTCCCATAAGATGCACCGTCTCAGAAACCCTAAGGGGCAGCTCTTCTCTGTCATATGGGGTTGCTCTGAATTGGGATCAACTTGATGGTGCTAAATTGGCTTATTCTTTGGGACTATATGCAACCCGCCCTAAGTGTTCATTCTCTGAAATGCCATTTTATTCCGCCGTGCTCCTGGGTGTGCTGAGATGACATCACATGACCTCTGGTTCTACCTGTACACCTGGTCACACTGCCCACAGCTCAGGGGTGGAGGCTGTGGCGGGCAAGGCGTGCCCCCCCACCCCCAACAAATGCTTCCTGTCTGCAGCTGGCTCTGAAACACCGCGGGGAGGGAACTCTGCCCTCTGGGTCCCTACTGTGGAAATCCCATCTAGAAAACCAACAACAGAGAACCAACAAAAGGGGCTCTCTCATCATTCAGTAACTGTACCACTTCGGGAGAAAGCCCGCCTTCATGTGTTGCAAGCATGTTCCTTGAACAGTCGTGCCTAAGACAGACAGACAGACACACACACAGACAGACACACAGATAGACAGCGGAATCCGTGGGTCTAGTTAAAGGTACCTTTACTCCAGAGAAGGCGGAAACAGCTGTCCAAAGGCTGATTAAGAATCACGAGGCAGTACTTCAAATTCCCTGTAGACATAAAAATAGAACAAAATAAAGACATGAACAGGGTCTGTGTTCCCTGATTCTGCTTTGCCGTCATTACCTCCTGGTAGAAACTGGCATTCTGCATGGCTAATTCCCGACACCTTGGTAAAAGGACGTCATATACGAAGGGGGTCTCCTTCACTGGGGATGTGGAGTCAGGGGGCGTGTTGGCATGTCTAAGACACACATGTCATTACGGCACACAGCAGATCCCCAGGGTGCAGTCGGCCTGGGTGAGTTGCTTCAGGCAGGGGGTCCAGCGGGGAATGGTTTCTCACTAAAAGGAGCACCGCTCTTCAGAGCCAACACACAGAGAGAGCCTCCCGGGAGCTGGCCCTCTGAATGAATGCTTTAAGGACATCTTCTGAAGCAGAGTTGCCCCATGCAGTCTGTGGTTCAGTTTCTTGATCTCCTTAAACTGTTCAAAAGCAAAGATGCCACTTTGAGGACCAATGCACACATGTCCCAAGCCATGGCATTTTCAATCATCTCAAATTCATGACAAAGCTGGACAGCAATTAAGAAGAGCCAAAGAACTATTGAGACCTGTAGATTACAGTGTTGGTGACGAACGCTGGAAAGTACCAGGGTCTGACAGGGAACAAACAAAATGACAGCCAGATGCTCATCAGAAGCAAGAGTGGTAGGGCTCCACCTCACGTACTTTGGATGTGTTACCAGGAGGAACCGTTCCCTGAAGAAGGAAGCCAGGCTTAGTAAGGAAGAGGGTAGCACAGAAGAGGAAGCCCCCCCATGAGACGGACTGTCACAGATGGTGCAACCATGTGCTCAGCCACAGCAGTGACTGTAAGGATGGTGGCCCAGGGCCTGGGGGTGCTTCCTTCTACTGTGCACAGGGTGGCTGTGAGTTCAAACTCAAGGGAACTACCACCAACAACTAAGGGAATGAGAAGAGCAGTCCACATGTATTTGAGCACCATCCAAAGAGGGGTGCAGACAGTGACACCAACCATGTCTCCCCATGGCACTGTCTACTCACTGGGTTCAATGATAAATCCCAGTGGCCACACATCATACTCACAGTGATGGGGTTTATCAGGAAAGTTAACAGGTCACCAGGCAGGAGCAGAGAATGCTCCGGGCACGGTTGCTCCAGGCAGGCTGGCCTCTGTCCACAGACTGTTACTCTTTTAGGCTGCTGATAAATGCCCACACAACAGATCACTCCACCCTAAACCCCAGTCTGAAGGCACTCGGCTCTAACTGCAAGGGCCAACAAGCCTAGCACCCCACTGAAGTGGCTGGAGGCACCCCACTCTGTAAGCAAGCCTCCTGCCCAGTCACTGGACGTGGCTTGCTCCGTGGAAGCCCACTGCTCAGCCTGGGGCTCGGGCTCTTGGTTTTGCTGCTGCTGCTCCTTGCCCACTACTCTGACGTCACAGCTTCTCATCTCTGGGTCAAAGAGGTCAATGCAGGGATGTCAGCGTCCAAAGGATGTACTCCAATTCTGGCTCTTCTCTGACAATAGTGAGCTAGAGCCACCTCCTACTTCTGGGATGGTTCATTTCATACCAATGCTAGAGTTCCAAGCTTTTACCATCACAGCTAATTCTGTACCCAGACCCATCAGGAAAATGTTGTTTGGTGGGAGTTACAAGAGACATGAAATAGTTCACTACACCGCTGAAGGCCAAAGGATAGAAAAGCAGCTCAGATATCCTGAAGAAAGAGCAGAGAGGTTAAAGAGCAGGACAGGGGCAGAAGGAGACGCAGAGGCAAAGGTGAAAATCTTAGAGGACACTTGTGAGGCATGCTGGTCAGTAGTCGAGTGTGCTCTAGAACCAACGGAGGGGACACATTCTCAAAGGCAAATCTGCGTAAACTCAAAAACCATGAGGAGATTAAGGACGAGGCGGAGCCAGAGGGAAAGGCATGGAATTGAAAAAACAAGACAACTATGTATTTTAACTATAGAGAGCGCTTCCTTATTAAAATCTAAGTAGAGACAAGGATTGTGGCACTATGGGTTAATGTGCTGGACCACAGGGTGTGGGATCAGCAAAATAACGTGACTGAAGGGAACGGAGGACCCATGACCCTGCTCCTCCAAACTCATGCCTCCATAGAGGAGTCCCTGCAAAAGTGTGTTCTAAAAGACCTATGCAAACGAGGGAGCAGAGTGACTTATTCATGATGCTACAAATAATAAAGAACTGACTATCCAAAACCTTAATGTGAAGCTGTGTCTCAAGATAAAGTCACGGAGTTAGCAGAGCTCATATTTCTTTTCTAATTGAGTTTCATGTGGAACCGGATCTGGTCAGCATGGCATTTATTTTGCACTCGAGCCCTGCTGATCACGAATCTGTAGGACAGCTGGAGAAAGAGTGGCACCAAGGGCCACCTGGTTTCCTGAACCAGACACTCCCTCCCACCAGAGGGTCCCCTCACCCAGCGGCCATCCTGGGAAGACGGCTGTGGTCACAAGGGACCCGAAAAGTCAGGAGGCTAATGGTCTTATTTAAGGTTTCTAAAGGCGTCAGGAAAACAAAACATTACAAAGAACTTCTTCATTATATTGGGAGCAACTACAACCTTTTAATCAAGAGTCTCCAGGCAAGCTCATTCAAAGAGAAATGTGGGGACAGATGGACAAGCTCCCTGACCACAAAGTGGATGATGCACTGCATTTGAGAAAACTAAGAAAAATACAGACAGGTCGAGCCTTCAGATTTAAGTCAAAGGTCCTTCCCAGAATAGCCTACTGAAAAGGTTTTTCAATGACAGAAGATGAAAAATCCCTGGTCAGGCCTGTATCCAAGCCAAGGTGTCTCACAGTGCGCGGAAATACTACTGAACAAAGAACAGAGGTCCAAGCTCATGGCACGGAAAGAGAAATGAAGGCGAGTCTTTCATCATGAGGTACATTGAAGGTCAACAATAGCAGCCAGACCCAGTTCTGGAGTGGCACTTTCAGCCACAGAGTTGGCAGTTCAAACCCACCAGCTGCTCCTTAGAAACCCTATCCAACTCAACGGCATCTCCCTTCCCCTTACTGGGTGTAGTGGTCCCGCTCTTGTCACAGAGAAGCACCAGCTCCCTGCAGAAAAGTCTCATTCTGGAATGGGCGCAGGCAGTACACAAAATGCACCCACCAGGGAGGGGAGTACGAAGGGCTCCCGTACAAGCAAACAGAAACACAGGGCAGCCGGACAGCAAAGGGGGCTGGGGAAACTGAGCAGCAAACTTAGGCAGCACTGATTATAACCCTAAGGATAAGCCCTGGCAGGGTAGTGGTTATGTGCTGGACTGCTAATCACAAGGTCAGCAGTTCAAGTCCCCCAGCCACTTAAACAGTAGAACAATGAGGCTTCCTGCTGCTGTAAAAGATGTCCAGCCTCGGAAACGCTCTCCAGGATCTCCCTGAGTACGAACTGACTCAACGGCATGTAACCGCCACCACCATAAAAACAGCGGGAGAAAGATGAGACTTTCTGCTCCTGTAAAAATGTACAGCCTCGGAAACCATATGCAGGGTCGCTATGAGTCGGAACCGACTCCACAGCACAGCGCCACCACCATAAAAACAGGTATCCTTGAGCTCTTACTGACATAAATAAATTGGGGTCGCTGAGTGCTGGTGTGGGGTTGTAGGATAAACACTTGACTGCTAACCACAAGGTTGGCAGTTCAGGCCCACCAGTCCCTCCTGGGAAACCCTATATAGGGTCGCTATGAGTCTGCACCAACTCATCTGTAATAATAACAACAACACCAACACCACTAGGGTCACTGTGAGTCAGAAGTGACTAGAGGGCACTTAACAACCACAACACCACCACTAGGGTCACTGTGAGTCAGAAGTGACTAGAG